GCCTCTGTTTTGCCTTCCGGGGGGGCCAGTACCCTAGGTCCTAGCACACATTAGCTCCCAGCATGCTAGCTTCCAACACACTGTCTCCCGGCACACTGGCTCCCAGCACAGTACCTCCTGGCACACTGGCTCCCAGCATGCTGGCTCCCGGCACAGTAGCTCCCAGCACACTGGCTCCCAGCACGCTGGCTCCCAGCACACTGGGTCCTGGCACAGTAGCTCCCGGCACAGGAGATCCCAGCACAGGAGCTCCCGGCACACTGGCTCCCGGCACGCTGGCTCCCGGCACGCTGGCTCCCGGCACAGGAGCTCCCAGCACGCTGGCTCCTGGCATGCTGGCTCCCGGCACAGTACCTCCTGGCACACTGGCTCCCAGCACGCTGGCTCCCGGCACGCTGGCTCCCAGCACAGTAGCTCCTGGCACAGTAGCTCCCAGCACAGGAGCTCCTGGCACGCTGGCTCCCGGCACGCTGGCTCCTGGCACAGTAGCTCGCGGCACACTGGCTCCTGGCACAGTAGCTCCCGGCACACTGGCTCCTGGCACGCTGGCTCCCAGCACAGTAGCTCCCGGCACACTGGCTCCTGGCACAGTAGCTCCCGGCACACTGGCTCCTGGCACAGTAGCTCCCGACACAAAAGCTCCCGGCACAGGAGCTCCCGGCACGCTGGCTCCCGGCACAGGAGCTCCCGGCACACTGGCTCTCCACGGCTCTCGTCTTTAGAGTTGTCCTCAGCCTCGTTCTGGTGGCCTGGCCTGCATCAAACAGACGTTCTCTTGACCCCTCTCCTGCTCCCATGGAAGGACAGTCTCACTCTGAGTCCTCAGAGCAGAGCTTCCCTGATTCCTGTGACGTGGGACTTCCTCACGGGCTGGCGTTGGTCTCAGACTTTCTCCTCCTTGCCTGAGGCGCGCTTTCACCAAAACTCGTGTTTCCTTTTCATACGATGCACACAATGTCCCTGACGCCTTCTCAGCTCCAGGCCTGGTCAGAGAAGGAAGACGGGAGGAGGAGACGGACTGAGGAAGAGGAAGGGAAGGAGGAAGGACAGGAGGAAGGGGAGGAGGAAGGGGAGTGGAAGAAAGAGGAAGGAGGAGGAGGAGGGAGGGGAGGAGCCCCGTCCACTCAGCTGGGCTTCCTGGGCTCTGTGTGCTGGGCTGCCTGCGGGTTCCAGAATGCCACGTGCACCAGTGCACCAACCTTCTCCCATGTGTTAGGCAGACACCTGGGTGGGGGGCTGCGAACAGCAGCTCTCACAGTTCCGAATGCGCAAACATCCCCTGGGCCTTGACAAACACAGCTGTCAGCGGTCCTGGCTCTGCAGGGCTGGGCGCCCAGGG